GGGTGACTAAAAGAGAAGGACTTTCACTATCATTCAACATTTTCGCCATCATTCACACAATATCACTGTCTTTGCAGAGGTGCCCAGATATGACAGTTCAGATGTCACCCCAAACAACTAATATCCCAAACCCCTCCTTGAAAGTATATGCACTGTACTTCCCACCTCCAGGACTCAAGTCCGGCTAACTGGTTTCCCTGAACCCCTTCACAAAATATTACCCTGCTCACACTCCAACAGCTCTTCAGGCCCCAAAAACCATTCATCTCCATTCACTCCTAATGCGCTCACACATGCCTGCTGCATGTCCGGACTCCTTGTACATTCTGATTTCTCCCCATTAATTCACAATGTTGCTTGTCTGTCAGCCATGACTCGACTCAGGTTTCTCTTATAGTACTATGTGCTGCTATTTTCTTCGTCAGTTTCTTGTGTGGAACTCTATCAAATTCTATATAGAAATCCATATACACTCTCATATTCTTTATCTTGGTCTAGAAATGTATTTTTAATTATTCATATTAATACAGGCAGCAATCTGTAGTGTGAAAAAAAGTCGTATCTTGTATTTTTGTCTTATTAAATCCTGAAGTATGGCAAAATTGTTTCATGGATGTTCCTAGTTTTATGAGTTAATCCATTCTTGGGTTCACCTCATCATCGTTTAATATTGATCTGAGGTAGAATTTCCTGTGTTTAATTGGATATTTGTGAACCACTTGGGTTTTTACAATTTGGCAGGAATATGGTTACGAAAGGAGTTGCAAAAGTTGCTTTACTCTATCACCCTAAGTTTGTGGAAAAACTCTCTATGCATATGCATACCTGAGGAAAATGTATAAAACATTTTGAATGCAGTGCTCTTGCAGCAAGATTTTTTCCACTGTTAAGGGAGCCATTTACTGACACAGCAAAACCAGAGTCATAAAGGGACTTCAGGGACATCCTAGTAATTTAGAAATTGTCTTTAACCAACTTAGAAAGCAACATTTTCTTTTGTGAGGTTGAAATTGAGTTTTTGGGTTGTTAGCCCCTACCCACCAACTGTGCTCTGTGCTGTAGCTGGAAATTATATAGGGTTTCCTCATCAAAAATGGTTTAATGTTAGGGTCTTAGTGAAATATTAGAAAACTATACTGGCCTTCCTAGTTGGCCATGTGGACAGAGGTTTGTTAGTGTTCTACATTGCTATATTTCTCAATCTAACAAGTCTCTGCTCCAGTCTTTTTCCATTTTTCCAATCATATTTAGAACTATCCAGGCCTGGTTATTTGGAAACATCACAGCATATCAGCAACATTCTGGCCATGGTAGCCTCTCGAGTGATGGGGAATGAAATCTACACACAAATAACCTGCACATAGGAGAGAGAAGCTTACGACGACGTTATGGTCAGACTTGGACCATTTACGAAGTCACACTAACAGGCTCTTAGGTCTCCTGCAGTGCTCCTCTTTCATGGCCTTTGACTTCACCACCACTACTACTTCCTTTGGCTCCTTCCTTCTCTTTTGCCTCCTTTTTTCTATTTTTTGGCCAACCAACCCCTCTTCCTACTTCACATTACCACTACTACTACCACTACCTGCTTTACCTTTACCACTACTCCTACCTTTCTTATCCCGTCCCTGCCAGCTTGCCTATGTATACTGGCTCCTCCTCCCTGTTAGTGTGACTTTGTAAATGGTCTAAGTCGGACCAAAATGGAACAATCTGTGTATTGTTTCAGTCACGGTATTGTGCCTTTTTGTCCTTTATGAAATCTGTGTTAATGAACAAAGAATTGCAGTTTGTTCTACCATGATCATTCCAATATTATAATAAAAAAAGAAGCGCTAACCTACAAGGGTTATACAGCACTGCCAGGCAGGGAAGGATGCAGGGGCATTGAGTAGCAAGAGGGAGAGGGATGATTATTAGGTCATGGAGTGCAGCGGGACAGTGGATAGTGCAGTAGTAGAGGGTAGCAAGAGATTGAGGTAGAAAGGACTGTGAGGAGTACTAGAGGCATCATCAGAGTTTGTGCAGTAAATCAGTTGCTGTCAAAAAGTCAATGAGAAAGTCTGGGTTAAAGGAGGGTCCATGAGCAAGAAGGGAAGGTAAAGTAAGGGCAGTAGAGCGGTGACGACGACGGAAGTAAATTCTGCGTGCTCGTTGATAGTGGGCAGTCCAACAGAATGTGGCTAACAGAAACTGGAACCTGACAATTCTCACAGAGTGGAACAGGGCGCTTCTCCATGAGATGCCCGTGAGTAAGATGAGTGTGGTCGATGCATAGATGGGAGAGAGTAGTCTCCCAAACTCGATACTGATGATAAGAAGACGGCCAGAAACCTACACTCCATTTAATAGAATGTACGTAGTTTATTTTGGAGCAGATCAGACCAACGTTGTTGCCAATGGGTGCAAAGGTGGGTAGTAATTACAGCAAAATAATCTGTGAATGGAGCACCTCTATATGAAACTGGGAGGTCTTGTACTGCTGACTACACAGCAGTGTCTGCATGTTCATTGCCCTGTATGTCAGTATGACCGGGGACCCAACAAAAAACATCTTCGTGCTTGTTTCATATCCAACCAAAGTTGGATATGAAGAACCAGGGTATAAGGTGTATCAAATTTTCATATAGCCTGTAAAGCACTAAGGGAGTCTGAAACGACCACAAATGGTGACGCAGGCACAGATGCAATACGGATAAGTGCTGTGAGAATGGCATACAATTCAGCCATAATAATGCTGGCTGGGGATAATAAATGCCCTTGCATAACGCTGTCTGGAAAACACTGCTGTAGATTCAACGCCATCAGAAGACTTGGGACCATTGGTGCACACTGTGATGGCATGAGAATGAGATCGGAAGTGGTTAAGAAAAAGAGAGCGAGAAGTCACCGTAAGCAGTTGGGCAAGATCATTCCAATAAATAATGCCTACACCTCAAAAGTGGGTTGGGGATGTTTGCTGTGCTGCGAGGTCTGTGCCCTTAGATGTGACTAATAGTTTTTTTTATCACTGTCTTTGTGGTAACAAGTTTTTGAAAATAAATGCAGAATTTACTGCAGTGATTATTCTAGTGTACTTTTCTCAAGGAGGTTCCTTGATGCAGGTGAGGGGCTCTTTATCCAAAGTTGAAGATCTATCCTCTCCTTCCTTGGATTGAACCTGATTGTCTCCTATTCCTCATTCTTCTGTGTGATCTCTGTAAGTTTAGTTCTTCCTCCTGATTATAAGTTAAGAGTACTCTTAGTTGACACTAATTGTGGATTAAAATATTCACAAAAAAGAGCTAAATCACCGAGGGTCATACAGCACCAGCTAGTAATGAAAAATATTTGTTTTATTTTACTTACAATTACTTGCAAAGTTAGTTTTGTGTTCTTGTTACTCTGTATAGTCACGTAGTTACTATGTAATTAGAAGTGAAGACAACATGTACACTTGTACATTAATAAATGAAGTGTCTTAACACTTGAAAGGACATTAACCCCTTGACTGTTTTGGTCGTATATGTACGTCTAACAAGCCACCGTTTTTGACATATATATTACTCATAAATTCTAGTGGCTTCAAATCAAGCAGGAGAAAGCTGGTAGGCCCACATGTGAGAGAATGGGTCTGTGTGGTCAGTCTGCATCATATAAAAAAATTCCTGCAGCATGCAGTGTGTAATGAGAAAAAAAAAAAACCCCGACCATTTTTTTAATTAAAATGCCAACTTTGTGGTTATTTTCGTAAAGTATTTATGGTTGTATTCTCATTTTCCTGGTCTCATTTGATAGAATGGAAAACATATTATAGAAATAGAGGTGATTTTGATTGGTTTTTACTTTGAAAAGAACCTTGAAATGGAGCTCAAAGTAGGGGAAATGTTTGATTTTTGTTGATGCTCAAAAGTAAACAAATGATGTCACTGTCCAATAAATGTCCAACTAGCCATTCTAATATGCAGTCATGAATGGGTTGACATTATTTATACAATTATTATAATATCACAGTAGTCTGCATAACAGTAAATCTTCTATTTTTTGTTTGAAAAATTCAAAATAGAAAACGAGTAATATCAGAGGGGCCTAGAGACATGACTGACGAACAAAGAAAATGTTATTTTAGAGCCAGGAATGTCTGCATTGTTCATTCTAGACCCTATTTTGAAATTGTCATATTTTTTAATTTTCATGAAATTGGCCAAATTGCAAATTTCTGACCACGTTATTGGGTAGTTGAAATCGGTAAACGGACAGTTACTTGTACTCACTCGATAGAAAAAATGGAGTTCTAAAGAAATAGCTATGGGTTTGGTGGCCTGTAACAATGGAATTAGTCGAAAATAGAGCTCAAAGTGGGCAAAATAGCCGATTCATAAATATCGCCGAGGTCACTAACTTCGCGAGAGCGTAACTCCGTCAGTTTACCATCAAATTTCATTCTTTTGGTGTCATTACAATCAGGAAAAGATTCTCTATCATTTCATAAGATAAATTTGGGGGGGGGATTTTTTTTTTTTTTGTGACACCAGGAGACACCTCAGGATTTGGGGTTGCGACAGTCAAGGGGTTAAATGAAATATAGCAAACTCTCAATTTAACAGGCTTTGAAATTATGGGACAACTAATTCAGGAACAGCAAACAAGCACTGGTTACAGAATTGTCTATTACCTGACCAGCTGGGCTGTGGTTCGTACGTCGGTTTGCGAGTAGCCAGCAGTAACAGCCTGGTTGATCAGGCCAGTCCACCACGAGGTCTGGTCATGGACCAGGCTGCAGGGGCATTGACCCCCGAAGCACCCTCCAGGTATACTGTATGAACAAGGCAAAATAATCTTGCCTCTATCCACCACAGTCCACTTGTTCCCCTTATCACTGCATTCTACAAAATTTATTGCCACTTCAAAGAAATGAATTCGTATATATAACAAGATATCAAAACCATTGCTACAGTAGGTAATAAATTTACTTTCAGTATTAATCACTTATAACCAAGGTACAGTAATAAAAGTTAAACTATTTTTTCAACAAATTGTATTTATTTCTACAAAGTAACATTTGGACTAGATTACAAACATTTAATCAAAAAGTAAGTAATGTACATGTTCATGTGTGCATGTATGTTGTACATCTTTATACAAAATAGGACAATACAAATGCAAATAATTTTATCTATACTGCAATATAAACCTGTATAGTGTTTGTAAAAGTATATAAAATATGTAATAATTACATTATGTACATTCAACATAATCATTTGTCCCTGGATATTTCACATATGACTTTGTACTACCAGAGGGGATGTGTAATGGTTCTTTCACATTTGTGAGAGATGAATCAGAAACATGAAAGTTGTGGTTCCTTGTGGAAAATATAAAAGACTTACATTTATGCCACAAGAGAATATAATTGTTAGTACTGACCAGAGAAATAGGAGATATACATGTCAAACAAATTCAAAAGCATATGGACCTTTAAATAATACTGATGCTTAAATATACAGTCAACATTACATACAAAACATTTTATCTACATTGTATTTATTTATTATACAATCACCTAAAGAATTGTTTGAAAGGCTTAATTATTAGAGAAAAGGGAATGCAATGAGAAAAACCTTTTGCTTTATAATGTCACCTCATGTTCTGATGAGTGACAACCTTGGATATAATAGAGGAAAGGTTCTGACATGGTGTATATATGTATTATGAGAAATAAGCACCATAATTAAAGTGCAGTACATAAAATTTCCTAAAACTGCAAAACACAGTCATATTGCAAGTATCAGCATTTTACCATAATGTACATAAATTTTCATGTAAGTTATTGATTAATGCAAATTTCTGCTAAACTCACACCTATAGATACTTTTTTTGTTCTGAACAGCACCACTTCAAATTGCCTTTGACATTCATGGTATGGGTATATAAAGTCAAAAAGGAAAAACAAAATGTTTATTAGTGCTACTTAAAATAATTTTCCTTCAAGGGGTAATAGTAGTCTCCTGATGCTGGTGAAAGTCTCCTGATCCAAAGAATTAGAGCATACTTTCCTATTTTCCGCTCACTATGTGGCCCCTATGAATTTAGTGCTTCCCATAGATATATTATTATTATAATCAAAAAGAAGCGCTAAGCCACAAGGCCCATAGATATAACTGATTTAAAATAAAAGCAGATATTGTTTATCACAGCCATGTAATTGGAATAGCAATGATAATTTTTAAAGTAGTTATGCCAGTGTATTACATTAATACTTTGAAACTAAGGATAAATTATGATTTTTCAGATTATTTGTTGCTTATCACTAAAATTCAAATATTTTGACTAAAAATTCATTATTTTATAGTCAGAATTCCAAAGCAAAAATATAAATTACATTGCAAAAAAAAAAAAAGGGGGGGGGGGGAGGTTAAGATGGCCCAAATGGTAGACACAAAGAAATTATCCCAGTACATGATTTATAAGCAATGCTAAAACCTTGTATCATATGTTCTGAAAATGCCCAGTGTAAACTCTGACAACACTAAGTTTGATGAGAAAAATTTTTTAAGAGCTCAATTTTCTCGTGGAAAATATGTGAATCGTCATCATTCGATAAAATTAAGAAAGTTCTGAGTGGCCACCTTTTAGGGAGAAGTGAACAAATATAACCAGACAGCAATGTGGGTAGATTTTGGCAAAAGTACCTCATATTCTTCAGTGTATTACACTGCTTTTGCAGCATATTCTAAATTTAAAAAAAAAAAAAAACTGCCAATATAATGGTTAATTTATATTAAAAAAAAATGAGGACGAAGGCACAAAAATTCTTGAAAAACATGAAGATTTATAATTTTGTGCAGTGCTGCATAACCCTTGTGGGTTTAGTGCTTAGTTATGATTATAATTATGTAATTTATACAAAAAAAAAAAAGGATTAACTTTTGGATGGCTCATTGGGAAAATAAGATTTAAAAATTATCATGACTACTCTCGAACTAGATTTACATGTAATGTAAAACTAACAAGTATTACTGCAAAAGGTTATTAAACTGTATGTATGCACGCACAGTAGTCCCCCAATATCCGCAGGGGATACGTTCCAACACCTACTGTGGATACCCGAAACTGTGGCTAGTAGTGAACCCTGTATATGTAAGTTGTTTTCTGTTTACATACCTATGATAAAGTTTAACTGATAAATCATGCACAATAAGTTGAGAATTAGCACTTTTTCATTGATGGGAAGCACTTCACAGCTTGCTTTAGGCTTTGAAGACTGTCACCATCACTACTTTGTGCTATGGTGTCATTATTAAGCAGAATTAAGTTATTTTTAGGCCTCGGCAAACTGTGGATAACTGAAACCGTGGATACGGGGGTTCTACTGTGTGTGCGCATGCATGTGTGCTCATAGATCTGATAACAGACTAAGGAAGGATGCCTCTGAAAACACTGTTCATTTAATATTGAGTAATCCAAGGAACTGGACTTTTTCTTTTCCTCCTTGGATCAAACCTGAATTCCTCTCATTCTTTAGGCACTATATGACCCTGACAAGTTAAGATCTTCCCTGATTAAAATAAATAAATAAATAAATTCTTTACTTTTGACAGAAAGATAGCACAAAATTTAATAGACATTTTGCTCTAGGTAAAGCATCACAAGTTGAGAAAAGCTTTGCTATATCCTGATCAAATGCCAAACAGAGGTTTCCACTGCACCAATACCTGCCATCCACCACTGACGTTCTTAAACTACAAACCAAAGTTTTTGCTACGTTTCCTTGCAACTTTAGTAAAATCCACATTGTAAATGACACTCCAATTAAAGTTCACATTGTGGGGTCTTGTGATAAATAAATACCATACATCTGACCTCATAGGAATTATTTGGCATATCCCTAAATAGGTTATTAACATAGAATACATTTCACGTAAAAAGTACGCGCTAAATCCTCACAGGGTCATGTAGCGGAAATCTTATTTTTATGAATGCCATTATCACTGATTTTTCCTGAATATCAAGTTCACTGATGATTAGAAAAAAAATCCATATGAAGCCATTTATTTTGGTTAAACTAGTAGTCTCACAAAACTGTATACAGTGGACCCCCGCTTAACGATCACCTCCAAATGCGACCAATTATGTAAGTGTATTTATGTAAGTGCGTTTGTACGTGTATGTTTGGGGGTCTGAAATGGACTAATCTACTTCACAATATTCCTTATGGGAAAAAATTCGGTCAGTACTGGCACCTGAACATACTACTAGAATGAAAAAAGTTCGTTAACCGGGGGTCCACTGTATACTTATATTAAAACTTTTAATGCTTCATACTGAGGTTGCAAAAATCTACTGTGCATCATTACCTGTAATAAATGGAAGTTGAACGAGTTTCTAATAAGATTTTTCTTAACGACTGAATATTTATATTTTATTTAGTAAAAAAGAATCATAATTTAAAAAAAATTCCTCAACAACATAGTAGTTGTAGTCTTAATGACATAATCATGTAACAAATACTATACATTCTTCAGTATATATTTAATAAACAATCAGGAGTCTGCTTGCTCTTAGCAGTTATTTTCCAGAAATATATTGCATATGGGGGTCATGCACTAAATTATACATAAAGTATATATAATCTTAACTTTCTTGGAATATAGTATTACTCCTCATTGGTGTTTCAATTCAAGATTTGTGGAACAACCCAAGTCGTCTTGTTTTTGTTGGAACTTCTTCCACAACCTAAAAAAAATAATAAAAAAAAAAGTCAAGATGATATGTGGGAACTTCTTAATTTTTTTTTTTACAAATAAAATATTAAATACCATGAAAATGGTTGCATTTTGAAATTTACGGCTCTATAGCCCTTGTGGCTTAGCGCTTCTTTTTGATTATAATAAATTTGAAATTTACAGCATATCAGCAGAGTCAATATTCTTTTTAATAAATTTAAGAGCTTTTCATCTTTCAGCCAAAGTGGCTTACCTTAATAAGGTTGTCAATTCCAGTAAGGTAGCCCTCCTCATGGTTTCCGAGCTTCCAAGGTTTCCTGTGAGAAATTTTAATTCCTTCTGGTACTGGTACTGTCTTTGCAAAGTCAATCATCCACACACCTGCTTTCTCATCATCATAAATGATCAAGATGCTGCTTCCAATTACCTGTAAAAGGAACATTTATAATGCAGTAATTTTAAATGACACACACTAACAAATTTAAAATGTTAGATTGTAATGCTGGATGAAATTACATTTTAGTGGTATAGCCATGCAGGCTGCATGACCAAAGGATGATATTCTACTGTGTAAATAAGACATGTGCAAAGAAAGTTTAAGATATGTAAAAGATTGTTAGCTGAAGACAGGAAATAGAACAAATTTGTGGAAGAGGATGACAAAAGAAATAAAGGTCTAACTAAGCCTTGGCAGATAATTCAGATTGGCATGTACAACTGTATATTTGTGAAACAGCAGCAGTGTGACTTTTCAAACTACAGTAAACTCTCAATTTGAATGACTTTAAAAAATATGGCACAGAATTCTCTGGGTAATTTAGAAACAAAAGACAAAGTTTGTTGGTTACACAAGTGTGTGTCTGTCTACCACAATCTCCATTACTGGCCACCCAACTCATCCCTGTTAGCCCATTAAGTCAAGAGTGAACTGTACTGTACTTCAGTGCAACTTGTAGGCATGCACGAGTAGGAAGAGACTTGAATAAAGTGGGATAAAATTAAACAAGACCTCTTGTAATCAGTTTTACAAATGTTCTGTATTAATGGATAGGGAAACTGGAACAAAGTAAAGAAACATTATATTATGTATTAAAAAGATAAGTATCACAAGCCAACACAAGAGCAGTTATTTATATCTTACACTATGAAAGATTGGTGATAAATCATACTAAAATATAATAAACCCAACTATAATGCAACTTCAAATATTGCATGATTTTGTAGCAACATGAATGAAAAGATGCAGCTTAAATTTTTTATATTATGCATCACATAGCATTCAAGAAGCAGCAATGTGCAAAATATTGGTATTAAATGCCTTAACGTTAATTTATGCAAATGTCATGGTCCACAATTCCTTCCCTTATACTAACAACCCACATCACTTATATTTGCAACTCTGGAAGTGTCTTGTGCCTTACTGTGTTTGTCAAGCTATTTTGAATATTTTCATTACCATAGTTGGTCTCTGGATATTAATCTCCTCGAGGGAAGTTCCTTAACCCTTTGAGGGTCGCCAGGCCCTCTCAGAGACTTGTTCTCAGGGTCGCCAAAATTAAAAAAAAAAAAAAAAAAAAATATTCTTATGAAAAGATAAAGAATCTTTTCCTGATCATAATGACACCAAAAGTATGAAATTTGATGGTAAACTTACGGAATTATGCTCTTGCAAAGTTAGCGGTCTCGACGATGTTTACGCATCGGCGATTTTGCCTACTTTGAGCCTTATTTTCGGCCAATTCCAGTGTACTAGATGTCAAAAATCACAACTATTTCGCTAGAACTCCGTTTTTTCTATCGAATGAGTACAAGAAACGACCCATTTACCGATTTCAACTATCCTATAAAGTGGTCAGAATTTAGCAATTTTGCCAATTTCACACAAATTTCAAGAGATTCCAATTTCCAAATAGGGTCCAGAATAAACAAGAAAGACATTCCTGGCACTAAAATAACATTTCCTCTGTTCATTAGTCACATCCCCATGCCCCTCTTACATTTCTTTTGCTTTCCACTTTGAATTTTTATTCTCACAAAAAATAGAAGATTCTGTTATTAGTGTAGAAATGGTATAAATACCAGCGCACTTGTGAAAGAATATTAGATTCACCAGTTGGCGTGTATTGGACACGGGGCATGATTTGTTTACTTTTGAACTTTGGCAAAAGTCGAACATTTCTGCTTCTTCGAGCTCAATTTCAAGGTACTTTTCATTGTGAAACCAATCAAAATCATCTCAATTTCTGTGATATGTCTTCCATTCTATAAAATGAGACCAGGAAAACTAGAATAGAATTATAAATACCATACGAAAATACAGTGCAAAGTTGCTGTTTTAAACCAAAAACGCGGTCGGAGTTTTTTCTCATTACGCACTGTGTGCTGCAGGATGTTTTTTTTTAACTGCGCACACTGACCACAGACCCATTCTTTCATATGTAGGCCTACCAGCTTTCTCTTGCTAGATTTGAGGGTGCTAGAATTTAAACGTACTAATACGTCAAAAACCCTGGCGCGTAAGCCGTACTAGTACGGCCGAAACCCCGAAAGGGTTAATGCTGATGAGGGAGATCATGATTCAACAAATTAGACCTGTTGACCCTTTCCTTAGCTTGAACTGGATTAACTCCTATTCCATAAGTGTTTTGTGACCTCTGGTTTATGACTTGCCTCTAAATATCATAATAGTGGATATTAAATATGGCACTCAAAGAGGGATACTAGTGATGTTGAGGTGCTAAGAAGAATAAACATGAATCTATGACTTAGAAAGCATACAAGTGTCAGGTATGGTTAGAGGTCTTGCACGTGTGATTCTTATTAATGAATAAACCATTCATACAATTAAAAATGGGAAAAAACAGAGGTTGTACATTTATCAGTTAAGACTGTCACCTGATCATAAGAATGTTAAAGTGATAACTTGACCTTGACAAAGTCAAGGTCAAAGAATAAGAAGTCACAATACCATGGCTGGATTAAGAAAAGCCAAAGAAAGGAGCTTCATACAGTGCTCGGATAATAAAGCACAAAGCCCTATTTTACTATAACAGAGAAGGTGAGCCTGTATAGTAGTGTGTTTAGTGGTGAATGATTATAAAGTCTTAGAAAGTTTTCTGGCCAGTTCTATAAACTACTCGGTAAAGCACAATAGACAGTCGTGATAGAATACCCGAGCACTCCAGTATAGCCATCAACTACCGACAACTCTACGTCCACAAAACCACAGCCATCCACTTCAGTCCAGTAGACCCACATCAACCCTCTCCACACTCCTATTTCAACACCATTATTTAAATTTGCAGTAATTTTTACCTAATACAACACTAAAATTTTTTTGGCAGATTTTAAAATGTCTGGAACATAACCTATTTTTTTTTAATGTTCGTGTCATGTAATGAGACTTTAAATAACATGAGGCTTTTCTGGAATGTAACCTGCACATTAAGAAGGTTTACTGTACCCTACTTTTTGTATACCTAAGGATTTAAATATTGGTTTCTAACTTTTGACAAATACTGAAAATGAAAGCTACAAAATTTTGTATCTCACCTCATGTTTCTGGAAGAAGGGCGAGTCAGTAAAAACACGTCTGAGATGTGCAAGACGTTCTAGAACCTGCCGTTTTGTACTTTCTCGACCTTTCAAAAAGCCACTCATGGTGCCAACTACTTCTTCTCGACTTCGCACAGTCTGCAATTCTGTCACTGCCTCACTTCCTGCCATCTGTTGAGTAAATATGCATACATTAATATTATTACTGTGGAGAAACTATAAATTTTACTGATCTACTTTACTGTATCACAAACTAAAAACATCACTGCCAAATACTCAGTACACAAACCTTTAGGGCTTCAATTCTAAAGCCAAGTGAACGCGAAGAACTCATATTATCACGGAAGTCCATGTACCGCAGCTTAGTGACTGCTTTGGCTTCATGTTCTTCTGGAGTTGGTGCTTTACCATCTACTTTAATCATCTGTGTCAAATGAAAATTAAGAAAAGTTTTGAAAAGAACATTTATTACGTGTAGTTAAATACTTTAAGGCAATATTTCTTTTTTAGGCATATCATTAGTATTGCACTTTGATGGACACTTTCATTTATTATGCAAAAAATATAACCTAGATTTGAGGAAATCTTGCCTTCTCGTAAAGATCTTTGCGAGCTTTCGTGTTTGAAACTTCAAACTCCAGGAATGTCCGAGTACCCATCTTGATGTCCATTACACAAGGATTGTGAAAGTCGTAGAGTAAATCCCTCATTTCAATGAAATCTAAATGAACATGTTAAGGACAAATCTATCCAAAATTTTAATTTTATATGAAAAAATGCAATAAAGTACTCACACTGCCTACCCAAGCACCTTAAAATATCTATTCTACATCTATGCTGCTGCTTGACACTGTCAAGCAGTCTCATTCAAAATCTTACTTTATAACTAAATGCATATACTTCGAGGGCAAGCTGAACCTAAAAGAGTCATGCAGCATGACTCACGAAATCGTAGTGACACGATTGCAAATAAACCACACCACGAATCTCTAGCTAGTGTGGCCGTGACAAACTCTAGTTTAAGTCCCCTCAAAGCCGTCGACATGACTCACGAAATCATAATGACAGGATTGCAAACAAACCACACCACGGGCGGGGTTAGAACCCGCAATCAGAGAGTCTCAAAACTCCAGACCGTTGCATTCGCCACTGGGCCAGCTAGCCAAAATAAGATTCATCCAACTAGGTATATTTATACACCATGAATGTTATTAACCCTTAAACTGTCGAAGCAGATCTACGTTCACATGCGTAGTGCTCCAAAAGTAGATATACGTTTCTTTTACACATTTTCAAAAAAAAAAAAAAAAAAAAAAAAAAAAAAAAAAAAAAATAGATCAAAGCTTTTTGTACACATTTTCAAATGTAAAAAAAAAAAAATATCTACTTTTTTTTTACATACTTTCAAATGTTGAAAAAACGCAGATCTACGTTTGGACAGTTTAAGGGGTAAGGCTAGCTGGTCCAGTAGCTAACGCAACGGTCTGGAGTTTTGAGACCCTCTGATTGCGGGTTCTAACCCCGCCCATGGTATGGCTTATTTGCAGTCATGTCATCATAATTTCATGAATCATATTGATGGCTTTGAGGGGACCTGAGCTAGAATTTGTCAAAGCCACGCTAGCTGGAGATTCGTCTGTATAAACCTTGCATTTGTGGTCACAGTGGTGTCTATGCTAACCTACCTATGGTGTATAAATATACAGTACCTAGTTGGATGAATCTTATTGTGGCTAGCTGGCCCAGTGGCTAACGTGATGGTCTGGAGTTTTGAGACTCTCTAATTGCAGGTTCTAACCCCGCCCGTGGTATGGTTTGGTCATGCAGCACATGGGAGAGTAGGAGGTAATCACATTTGATCTAAGGGAAAGGTCAGATTCCTTGCATGAAGGAGCTTTCCTTGAGGGGACCCTATAACTCTAGTTATCCTATGGGTTTAGCACTCCCCCATAATTTTTACAGTAATTATAATACAGTGGTACCTCGGGATACGAATTTATTTCGTTCCAGAAGGCTGTTCGAGTGCCAGTACCAAACGAATTTGTTCCCATAAGGAATAATGTAAATTAGATTAATCCATTTCAGGCCCCCAAAAACACACTTACATAATTGCTCATGTTTTGAGCTGTTCGTATCCCGAGGTACCACTGTATAACTAGTCATTCCTAATCATTATTAGAATTCTATATGCTGATACATCTGTATGTAAAGTCAAGAGTGCTGAAATGATAAGTGAAAAGAATGAGGACTGCCACTAAAAATTTACAAAGAGAGAGATATGACAGGTATAATTATTATATTTAGGGAATAGTGAAAAACCCACAGGGTCATACAGCACTTAGGAAATGACTGGTGTAAAAAATTAACATTTGGGCACTGCACCATAATACCTAACAACACTACAATGCAATGTGGCTGAATAGAACTATTAACACAGGAAGAGTGAAAAAGATGTCTCAAGCTTATATAAATATTGTATGAATTTTTTTCTGGTTTTGCTGTCAAAAAAGGATACATTCATCTTGATAGACGACCTCTCTGAAGAAGGTGGGCGTAATGTCTCTGGCTGGGTCGGAAGACAGAGCTCGGTATGCCTGAGTCTCTACAGGTTCTGGGCCTCTCTTCTTCCAGATGGTACCTGGACCAGCTGGTGCCAGGGAGCCTGGGTGGCCTGCCAGCTGTACCCAGCTGTTCCGACGATCCCTTAACAACACCGATGAGGCTGGTGCAGTCAGGTTCAGTGCATTCTGCCAACAAATGGGCAGTACTGGATTTATAATTTAACTGAAAACTTTTGCCAATGTGTATATAACAATATCAGTCATTGCATCAGTAATGTACTCATCAAATTATAATTTTTTCAAATAGGTCTTGAAATATCATATTTATTGTAAATGAAAATGTTACTGTTCAAAATACAAAATTTAAGATGCCAAATTTCTGGCAACTACATATACTTGTACTGTGCTACTACTGTGTAGTTTATTTAAACCAGGGTTAGGGACTAAATCCATGTGGGTCATGTTCCTAGGGAATGGGAGGGCATCCAGGTTTGATTCAAGGGTAGGAAAGGTCCATGTCCATGGATCAAAGGACCTCCCTTGAGGGGACACTGCTTTAAAAATCTGGGAAAAGCCACACTAACCTGTGTAGTGATTACATATAACACTGCCTAATGTGTAACATATCAGATGCAAGTTCAATACTAACCAGGGCAAGTCTCTGCAACAGAGACATAGCAGCTACATCATGGATATCAGCTGGGAAGGTCTCCTTGGCATAGACAATGTTATTAGTTTCCAGAGTGCAACTACTGACATGGCCATTGGAACAAGGTGAGGAACTAGAAGAGCAGAGGATCTGTCCATCATGGCTTGAGGGAGAACTGCTAGTTGACTTAATGGAAGAGTTAGTAGAAGATGTGGTTGAGTTGGAATTGGAAGACCTAATTGAGGATTCTTCCTCATCGCATGACTTCTTCTTTAGGGGTAGTTTTCTCCATCGTTTGGCAAAGGCATGTCGTCTAGGGTGGTGGTTGTCTGACTCCTGCTGTTGATGCTCTTCCTCAGACTTCTGTTTCTGTGGCTTCGCCCCAGCAGTTCCACGTAGCAGAGCCTCTATCTCTGCCTTCCTCTCTCCTGCTACCTGCCAACCAAATTACATCATTAATACCAGGTATATATTTGACAATATGTACATTTTAAAAGAGACTAGAAGCAATGCAAGACAATAATTGTATCAAAGTACAGCATAACTTTAATAAACAAATCAAGCTTCATCAGCTAAGTATTAATATCTGATTACACTGTCAATACTATGGTAACATGCACATAGTATATAATGTCCCCAAGTGATAGCAAATGTCAGCATACTCAAAATTGCCTTTAAAGGTGACATTATTGGCAAACAACTCTGTTAATTTACTATTTCACTCCTGTGCCCAGTTCAAAGTATCTAGCAAGCCACATGCAAATAAAATATATCTACTAGTGTAATTTAATCACTAAATTAGGTAATACTGGTATAGTACTGAATATTACATTCATTCATTCTTGTAACAATCCAATTTTAACGGCTAATACTGAACTTCAGATACTCTGGGTAGTCAGTGTATCAAAACACTGATGAATGATTAAATCACATGGTTGGAAATAATTTATAAATAATCCCAATTGTGGGCTTATGAAAAGTACTGTTGGTATCAAAGCCTAACCAGACTTTGTGCTAAGTCCTACCACTGTGGTAGAACCCATGGTTGCTCCAAACCACTTTTTTACAGGATTCTCAATGCCAATTTTAGTGCAGGGTAACATTATCCTTCATTAATTAAAAAAATACCAAACAAACAAAAACAAATGTGGAAGCAGATGCCAGGTATGACGTCAACAGCGCTAATGAACTTGATTCACAGATAGTGATCAGTTGACTAGCAATAATTAGTACACTATCCTCAAGACAGTTATATTCTAAATACAGCCAACAATATTAATATATTCAAAGAAGTGATAAGCCAGCAAGGGTCATACAGCACCTGGAAAACAGGAAGCAATCAGCTTTTATCTAAGAAAAGGGAGAGCAATTAAAATTACCTAAAACAAAATATTTTCACTATCAAGGTTCCCCTTCCCATACTTGAAGGGAAAGTGTACATCTTGTGCATCTTCAACCCCCCCCCCTTTCCTCTCCACTCACCTATCCAATATGTTGAGGTTATTACATGATTTTGTTTAGATGTATACAAATTTGTGGGGATATAAATCAAGTGGAGCCTATTAGCCTTGGTGTCTACTCTATTTCCTGTACAAGCAACCAGGTGTGATACCTCGCTCTTGACCGCATCTCGATATTGCCGAAGCTATGATGCCAACTACTGTGTAGTGCCATGTATGCAGCAGTTTCACAGAATGGTGACGGTGTTGCTTGTTTATGCGCTGGAGTTTTCAAGATATTTGCGTGTAAGGGTAAAACCTGTAATAAGATATATGTGTAGGAGTTCCACCAAGAAAATCGGACTTACAGTTGAAGAAAAACTGCTTCACAAGTACTGGTCCAGGGAACTCCCCGTCTTCTATCTCCCTCACCTGCCCACAACAAGGACGCTGTACCAAAATGTCAATTAGCTGCGGAATCATCAGACTTAGACTATATAACTGCCTACCCCCGTTTTCTCTCTCTCACTACATGCAATATCAATACCATGTAATTATGCAAATTTAGAAAATAAGCCTTTACTTGTAAACTATGTTGCATAGTTACTTACATATTGCAATGTTTACGTACGTCTTAACTATTCATTCCCCTGCTGAATAACCTAAGACGGCCACATCCTCAGTATACAATTCTAAGAGGTGCACTGTGCTAGTGAAGGGCTACTCTCCCTTTTGTTGGACTAAATCTGATTACCTCCCATTTCCTAAGTGCTGTACAACCCCTACTGGTTTAGCGATTTGTCATGAATATAATACCACTCGACGCCACACCAACGTCTGACTTCAATACACATCACTATGTGCAGTGACGGGGTTTGTTTGCCAATCGAAAGGCCTGGGCTAGGGGGGACGTATAGGCAAATCTAACACCATCTGCCTCTGTTCACATAGGGAAGATACCTAGGAGTAAAGCGACTGCTTTGGGTAGCATCCTGGGAAAGGGCCTAAGGACTCCAATTTAAACAAAATCCAGGTAGTCACAGGAATATCACATTTGCTTGAAGTTAGATATGGTGTCGGTAAACCCAGATCAATCTAGCCTAACCTAACTTTTTTTTTCTGTGACTATTTCTGTTAAGCTTTTAACAGCCACATTGCTTCGCTTTTGCCTTTTTAGGGGTTATCAAGTGTTATTAACCCTCCAAGGTTAATAACACAAATAAATATTTTACACTAGTGTCTGTGGTCAATGTCAATGAGAGCGTCAATCAGTTGGAGAGTGAGCGATGGGAGGGGAAGGAGGGATACAGGAAGAGTTATCAAACATGGATCAGGAAGCAGGGAAGGGGTCACCACTAGGTTAGCACGCGGTGGCCTATTCGTATATTTGATAGACAAGTTATATCATCCCCTACATGATATATCAGTGAGTATTCCTACCATCATTATGATAGGTCTTTGTTACATATCCTGAGAGGGTAGCGCACAAGAAACTAATTAAAAGTATTTTTACCAAAAAAAAAAAGTTTACAAAAACTTTCGAAGCTACAAGTTTCGAAAGTTATTCACCACAACCGCTTCATAGGTAGTTATGATAGTTATTTTGTATTTAGGAACTGGAATTATCCTCCCAATCCCTGGATCTAACCTGATTGCCTCCCATTCATAAGGCTTTATATGGTCTCGGATTAAAATAAATTAATTTAGATATTTGGGAGTGGACGTGTCAGCGGATGGGTCTATGAAAGATGAGGTGAATCATAGAATTGATGAGGGAAAAAGAGTGAGTGGTGCACTTAGGAGTCTGTGGAGACAAAGAACTTTGTCCTTGGAGGCAAAGAGGGGAATGTATGAGAGTATAGTTTTACCAACGCTCTTATATGGGTGTGAAGCGTGGGTGATGAATGTTGCAGCGAGGAGAAGGCTGGAGGCAGTGGAGATGTCATGTCTGAGGGCAATGTGTGGTGTGAATATAATGCAGAGAATTCGTAGTTTGGAAGTTAGGAGGAGGTGCGGGATTACCAAAAACTGTTGTCCAGAGGGCTGAGGAAGGGTTGTGAGGTGGTTCGGACATGTAGAGAGAATGGAGCGAAACAGAATGACTTCAAGAGTGTATCAGTCTTGTAGTGGAAGGAAGGCGGGAGTAGGGGTCGGCTAGGAAGGGTTGGAGGGGGGGGTAAAGGAGGTTTTGTGTGCGAGGGCTTGGAATTCCAGCAGGCATGCGTGAGCGTGTTTGATAGGAGTGAATGGAGACAAATGGATTTTAATACTTGACGTGCTGTTGGAGTGTGAGCAAAGTAACATTTATGAAGGGATTCAGGGAAACCGGCAGGCCGGACTTGAGTCCTGGAGATGGGAAGTACAGTGCCTGCACTCTGAAGGAGGGGTGTTAATGTTGCAGTTTAAAAACTGTAGTGTAAAGCACCCTTCTGGCAAGACAGTGATGGAGTGAATGATGGTGAAAGTTTTTCTTTTTCGGGCCACCCTGCCTTGGTGGGAATCGGCCGGTGTGATAATAAAAAAATAAGTTACTTTTATTTAAATTTCATAACCTAGTACTAATGACTTCACTCGGGATTTTTTTTTAATTCCTGAAAAGTATTAATATATTCTCCAGATATGTAGGGCGTCACCAGTATGCTTCCACCACCGACTCAACAGTTTCTCAAGAAATGAACACATGACTGAGGCTTGACCACTGTGGGAGGAGTTCCTTCCGGTGCGGCATTACGTGAGGGAGTGATGAATCAATTATGTAGACTGGGTCACCCCCCCCCCCCATTTCCCGAGACTTGAACCGCCCCACGCCCAAGCCAACGCCCACGGCCACAAGCTTCATACTGTCAACACTTAATAATGCCCCATGACTGGTAGAGCTAAGAATATGCTAAAACGTAATTTGCTTGGTTAACAACATACTGTACGATGCTCATTAAGGATGAAATTCATCTGCACACCAACAAAAATACAATTACAGTTTCTAAAATAGAGATTAGCCAAGTAATTCCGGGCCCTTTATACAACATACGTTTGGCACATCTTTGAGGATGCAGCACCAGCATGGAACCCACATCTGAAAAAAAAACATGTTAAGAAACTACAGTTGCATGCAACAAGGCTTGTTCTAGAGCTAAAGGAATTAAATCTGAAGATATCGGGAGACAGAAGAACCAGGGGGACCACAATACAAAAAAAAAAAGTATTCAGGTAAATTAATAAGGTAAGCAGGTATCGGCTGTTTGAGAAGCGCGAAACGGGAACTCTGGAAGACAAGTTACAGATGAGCCATAAGGATGTTAGGAAATATTTCTTCAGTCTCAAGCGTGGCCAGGAAGTGGAATGATCATGATGAGGAAATTGTGGAGAGACTCCATAAACAATTTTAAGAGTAGGTACGAAAGAGTCCCCGAGGCTAAGACTGAATCTACAGTGGCTGGGCTTGGATCCGAGAATTAACCCCTGCAACCACAAATACGTAAGTACAGATATACACGTGTATATACAGAATAGAAAGATGTGAAAAATTTAACATGGGGGGGGGGAGGGCTCTTCCAGGGGCTTTAAATGAAAGAATCAGGGAATACAGGTAAGTTTGCTAGAGGGAAAACACTAACAACGCCTAACTTTCTTTACGCAAAATTAGTTATCGAAGAACTGTAAGGAATCAGCATTAATCACCACTGCCAACACTAATATTACATAACATTAGGTCATTCACACTTTCCGAGGTTTCAGGACAGCTGAGCCTATCTAAAACTGACAACCATTACCCGAGACCTCACCTCCTCTCTGAAGACCTGTTGAAATCTACAACTCCCTTCTCAGACACTATATAAAAAATTTTCTTTCTGAACTGAAAAAATCCCTATCGAACAAAAAAAACTTCTAAAAAGCCATTATCATCAAACTGTAGGTAAATATTATCATTTTATAGATATACATCTGTGTATATATCCTAGGCCACACCTTGTCACCATCCCACCACTTGAAGATACT